AACACTTTTCAGCAAGGAAAGATTAGCTCCTTTGTGTAGAAATTGAGAATCTAGCCTTAGATGCTTACTAGCTGTGTGACCCAGGGCAAGTCACTTAACCCTGTTTGCCTCAGTACCTCATCTGTAAAATGAGTTGGAGAAGGAAATGACAAACCACTCCAGTATCTTTACCAAGAAAACCCCAAATGGGGTCACAAAGAGTTGGATTTGACTGAAATGACTGAACAACAAATAGAATCTAAGGCTCTCAGACATACCCTCAGAGAGTCACGTTGATCACCTTCACAGATAGACAATTTCTATATCTTAGGCACTTCACCTTTATAATGGATACCAAGTAAAGCAACAGGTCTTAAGATACTGGAATACTGCTGCTGCTGCCACCACCACCACTGCCCTACTGCCCTGAATTACCCACTTATCTTCAGCAGCACCCTGCTCTGGGCACTTGAGTTTGATTTGAGTCAATTCTACTCATTAGCTTGTTTCCCCAAAATTCTACTTACGGCCCTGGGGGGATGGCAGAGTAACTTGAATGTGAACATTTGGTACTACTTTGTCATTTAGCATGTAGCCCATTGGTGTGATAGTCATTCCATACAAATATATATACAATAATGGTGTTGTCATTGCTCAATCTTTATTGCACCTTTTTAGTATCCCCATCTTCTATCTCTTTGTTCCAATTTGTATCCAGTGAGACTCGGTTCTCCATACTGTGACATTAAGGGCCAATTCTTTTCCAAAATAGAGATTTCCAGCAATCTCTGAGGATCAGCACCACTGTTTCTAGAAATGGCATGTCAATTAACTGACTTATGGAACTACTTAAAATTCCCTTCCCTGGCCACCAGTCTGTTGTAGGTGTTAACTTTTCCTATTAGATTGTAAGCTTCTTGAGTGTAGGGATTCAGATGTTTCAGTTTTGTTTCCTCAGCATTTAACATAGCTCCTGAAACATTGTAAGCATTTAATAAAGGTTTTTTCCATCCATCTATTCACTACCTACCAACATGATTCTCAAAATTAAAAAGGCAGTTAGTTCTTAGACAGTATTTACTGCCTATCTATCACCTTTGTTCACCACTTTTCTCATTGAAGATCCCCTCCCAGTTCTCTAATCTTAGAATTCCTTATGTCCAGGAGTTCTTCTTCTTAATCTTAATGTTTCTCTCTTCTGCTAAACCTGTCCTTCCCAAAGGCAGAAAGCTTGCTCCCAGTCTCACACTCAGGGTCAATGATGACTGCCTTGTCTTCTCCTTCAGAACTCCAGATAAACCCCTCCACTGGGCACCAGAGTCTTAGAAACAATTTCTCAGGGCATTCTTCAGGTCTTTTGGGTTCCCCTTATACAGTGCTAACCTGGTGCTTTCTGTAGAAGGAGGACACAGGCTCTCACCTCTTCGTTTTGTTTTGTTCTTTATTTTTGCTTTTTTTTTTTTGCTCTGATTCCCAGTGCCCTGAGCCTTTGAGCAAGGGAAAGCAGTAAGTTTTTTGTTTCTTATCACTATAGGAGTAAAGGAATATTATGCTTCTGCCAGTAGGTCCTGTACATTCAGCCATTCTGAGCCTAGACAAGTAGGGCAAGTATTTGTCTGCTGACTACTAGTTCAGAAGTCAATAGGAGGAAACCTATTTCTGATTTTTTTTCTAATTGTGAAAATTGCACTGTTCCTGTGATGAGGAAAGGCTGAGTAGAAAAAGATGATCACCTTGTGTTTTAAAAAGTTTATGCACTCTTCAGTCTAAAAAAAATCATAATTCTAAATTTTCCAGTATTTATACTTTCTCAAAATAAAAATGTCCCTAGAAAAAAGCAGTTGAGTAAGGAAACAAAATTTATTAGGTGCTTACTATGTGTCAGTTGCTGTATTTAGCATTTTACAGATATATTATTTGATCCTCACAAGAGTGCTGAGAGATAGATGCTATTATTTTCCCCATTTTACAGTTGAGGAAACTGAGGCAGGAAGAGGCTAAAGTGACTTGCCCAGGATCAAATGGCTAATAAGTATCTGAGGGCATATTTAAATGCAGGTCTTTTAAACTCCTGGCTCAGTTTTGATAAAAAAGAATTGATAACCTTGGGGAGAGGAGTTTGTTTTCAGGGAATGCAATCTGAAGCCAAAGCACAAAGGATTGAAAATTGAGTTGATGATAATGAAATAAAAGCAATGAATATAAGCAATTTCAGGAGTTTGCTGTGAAAGAGAAGAGAAAGTCCTATAGGATGATAGTTTGAGGGGATGACAGGATAAAATGATGGCTTCCAAGGATGAGGCGTACCCAATGTTGCTTGCATCTGAAATCCATCCCCACCCTCGTCCTTTGTTCACGTCCTCTGCAGCAACCTGACTTTTCTCTTCCTCAACCATCTTCATCATATTTCAACCACAAAGCAACATGGCCACATGTTAGAACTCACCAGATCTCCAGATTCATATCATCTCTGAGATCCAGATCTTTGGAAGTCTACTCCCACCCATTTACCCTTCATACTGTCACTTATACTAAACTATCTTTCCTGTTATCATGGCCTTCCTTCAGTTTCTTGAACCAGTTCCTTTCTCCTAGTCCACATAACTTCATCTTGGCTTCACTCACTGCTATAATCAACTTTGATTTCATGACTGACCACTTTGATGTCTCAGTAATCACTACCCTAGAATTCTTTGCCCCTTCTTCTGCTACTTCCAATCCGTGTATCTTCATTGCTGCAAAATTATTACTGATTTCTCCAGCTTTGGACCAAGACTACCAAACATGACTGGAGAAAAATCAGAAAATCAAGATGATTTCAAATTTTATCATTTCATGGTGTGACTGACAGTGAAGCACCAAATTAGATACTTACTAGCTTATGTGATGGGCAACTAGGTGGCACAGTGGATAGAGTGCCAGGCCTAGAGTCAGGAAGACTCATCTTCCAGAGTTCAAATTGGTTCTTGGACACTTATTAGCTGTGTAACCCCGGGGAAATCACTTAATCCAGTTTGCCTTAGTTTCCTCATCTGTAAAATGAATGGAGAAGGCAATGGCAAACCACTCCAATATCTTTACCAAGAAAACTCCAAATGGGATTATGAAGAATCAGATACAACTGAAAAACTACTCAACACCAACAACAAGTTTATGTGATATTAGGCAAATTACTTAATCTTTCTGTGCCTTAGTTTATATTTGTGTGTGTATGTATATATACATATATGTGCATATATGCACACGTACACATACATAAATATATGTATAAATATGCATATATGTGTGTGTGTGTGTGTGTGTGTGTGTGTGTGTGTGTGTGTGTGTGTGTGTATTCAGTGTGTCAGACTTGGTGGTCTTAAGGCCCTTTCCAGTTATAAGTCTTTGTCTGATCTCATGAAAGTGGAGCCGAGTCTTATGATGATGAAGCCCATAGTCTGACTTGCTGGTGGACAACTGATAAGAAATGAAGGTAGAAGTTTAGCAGAGTCATGAAATTGAAGAGCTGTGGTATCTCACCATTTCATTAATGCCTAGAAGGTAGAGGTTATAGCTTGGGAAAAGCAGAAGTAAGGTGGAACAGGATGTGAAAAAGGAATGAGAAGGTTTGAGACTCCTAGGGTGAGTAATTTGGCAGAAATTGTGCTTTCAGTAAACTACAATATGAATCAAATATGAACCAAGAGAGAAACGTGAAAGCCAAATGAAGTGAAAACGATCTTAGGCTGCAACGTAAAGTAGGGTCTAGAACATAAAGGCTTAGGTCCTATTGTATTCTGCCCAGGTTTGGCTTCATCTAGAGAAGGATAATAGAATCCGAAATTTAGAGCTGGAAGAGACCTTCAAATTCATTGAGTCCAACTCTTTCATCTTCCAGTTGAAGAAACCGAGGCCTAGAGAGGTTATGTGAGTTGCTCAAAGTCATCTGGCTAGTTAGAGGCAAACCTGTGACTTGCACCCAGGACTTCGGCCCCCAAATTCAGCAAATGTTGCACTGTGCCACTTCCAGGCACCATATTTTAGAAGGGATATTGCCCAGCTGTAAAGTATTCAGAGAAGGGGATGGGGGGCCAAGAAGACTGGGCACCTTGTTGTTGTTGATTCTTCATTCTCAAAGAGGATCAACGACATCACAAGGGTGATGTCTTGACTTGTGCATGGACTAGATTTAAGTGAGGCAGAGCTACACAGAGTTATCAGTCTTGCTCTTTCCTCCAGAGTCATCAGAGTCCAGGGGCAAGACCAAGGTCAAGATGACTGGCAATGGCCCAGGATGTAGTGGGTGACCTTGGCCCTTCTAAATTAAGGTCTTTCCCAGGTCTCAGTTTGTCTGAGTCCATGCCCTTTCAGTGACTAAGGGCTGGGTAGGAATTGAGACAAAAGATGGCCCAAAGACAGCAGTCTGGGAGGGGAAGATCCTCCGAGTTTCTGGCCAGAACATCACACCACTTAAGGAGCTATTGAAGGAATTGGAGACATTTTATCTAGAAAAGACTTAGGAGGGCATATGATAGTTGTCTTTGAATATTTAAAGTTCTAGTATATGAATGAACATAATTGTTTTTCTTGGCTTGAGGTGGGGGATGGAGGATAGACAGAACTAAGATTGATGTCTAAAAGTTGCAGCAAAGTAAGATCTAGGTTTGATATAAAGAAACACTTCCTAACAATTAGAGCTTTCCAAAGGTGGAATGGGCTATCTTGGGAGGTAACAGCTTTCCCCTCACTTAAGGTCCATAAAGGGAAGCGGATGACTACTTGTTTGGAATGAATAGAAGGCCTTTTCAATCAGGGTTGCACTGAGGTCTCTTCTGACACTGAGGTTCTGTGGTTCTATAGGCATGGAGAATGAGGACCAACCTCACTGGTCCCATAATCAGCCCTGGAAAGAACCATCGATCCTTACTGTGGGTCTTGCACTGGGCCAGAAAGCACAGTTTGCCTTTTGTATTATTTGACTTGACCCTTGCTTATGTCATTTAATTCACATTTCATGAGGTTTTTCCTTCCTTTCTTCCTAGGTTCATGAAGGTAGCTGGGAGCACTGTGGATGCTGTTACCTGGCAACAGTAGGTATTCATCAGTCTTGTTTTTCCTTATGTCAGCTAAACTATGGCAGAAAGAAAGACAAATTAGTTGTCCCTGAGTTTATATCTGAAGCATCCAAAAATTATCCATCATCCTCTAAGGAAAAGTTGAAACTGATTGTGGAACCAACTATTATGACAGAAAAATACTAACTCATAATCCTTTGGGTTCTTATTCCAAGCAACCTGTCACTTTCACCAGATCTCAGACATTATATATTGTTTTAGATTAAACTACCATTAGTGGACAGGGAATAGAGATCTGAAGGTTTCCTCTGAAGAAACATTCTTTATCTACCACCAGGCTGCCTTAAATGCAGGGAATATATTGAGTCTGGTATTTCCTTCAGTGATACATTTTCTCATTTATTCTAACTGGACTCTAAAGGATGGGGGAAAACTTACAATTGTAATACCCCTGCTATGGAGTCAAAATGTGATATCTCATTGAATGTCTCTGTGGCAGGAGCCACACTTGGGACTGAATCAGTCTGTGAAGTGAAGAACCAGGCAGGTCAAAAAGGATGATTTGTAAGGAAATGAAGTGACCTCAAGTGAATGGGTACACAGAGCTCCCAGGAAGTAAATGAGGCAAAAAATAGATTGCTTATAAAAATCAGCAACTCAAAGAAAAAGAAGAAGGAAAAAGAAGACTGACTGACTGTCTAATGAGCCCAGTTTTCCCCTGGGGTAGATTCAAGTCAATTCCATTCTATCCATCAAATATTTATTAAGCATCTCTTCAAGTACATAGTGATAAAGAAATATGGTGTAGTTAAAGCAGGGCTGGACTTGGAGTCAGAAAGACCTGAATTCAAAACTGATCTCTGACTTTTACTAACTGTATGACCCTGGGCAAGTCATTAACCTCTCTGTTAAGGTTAAGTGTTCATTTTGCTTCAGGAAACTCCCCAGGAGTGATTTATTAAGTCAGATATGGATTGTAACCTACATTGGTAAAGTGAGCTATCACACTGGGAGCTCCCCACTTTGATGAAATCAAGATGCTTCCCGTATTTGTTCACATAGAAGGCATTCTATATGTGTTTCATTATACCTTTACCTATATGAGGAACATATATAAGCCCACTTCAAACCTCCTTACTGTATGCTCAACACAAATATAGCATAGGACCCACTGTTAGCCCCCAAGTGAAATCTCACATTTGTATATTATCCACTTTCCAACCATTTCCACATACTTGCAGACATCATCTTGTTAACTGTCATCAAATTGTCATGAGCCAGGGAATGAACAGTCATCATTATCTATACATATTGATAAAGTTGAAACTCAGAGAGATCTTCTGATACTTAAATAGTCAATACTATCAATACTGGTTGTAGGAGATATAAAGTAAGTCTGAGAAGTGCCTCCTGACTTCAAGGAGTTGAGCTTACAGTGTCATTCTGGAGACAAGATTAACACCTGAAACAGAACAAATGAGAGCTAAACTACTGTGATTACAGGAACTCAGATGAGAGAGAGAACATTATGAGACTGGTAGCAATGGGAGTGTGTTATAGTGAGCAGGGTTATTCTTCACCCTCCTACTGCCTTTTATCTAGATGAGTTTCCTGCTATAAACAACCTTTCTCTACTCTGGGAAGTTTTAAAGGTTACCTTTATTACAGTCTCTCTAGATGGCTGTCTGCTCCTTTGATACACATGGAGAGAGAGAGAGATGGAGTAACAGGGGCCGCCTTATGAAAGCAAATCTCCGCCCACCATGCAAACAAGCCTCCACCCACCACTATCCCTTACCCCCTTACCTGGGGGTGGGCTTACATTCTAGGCCCGAAATTCAAAGACAAGGAAAGAGGCTGGAAGCTCAGGTTGGGGGTGGGGAAGGGCTTATTTTTTTCTGTTAAGTGCTTAAAAACAGGGTCTAAGTGGGGGAGGATTTTTAAAGTAATAATATCAAGAATTATTTTACCCTTTGAGGAGCCTTCACTTCTGAGAATTCATTTCTCACACTACCTTCTGAACTCATTACCTTCATTACACTGAGAAGTCTTCACTGGAACATCCCATTCATCATGAAGATTGGCATGGGTATCACCAGACTGCCAGAAGGGCCCATGACACAAAGTCCAGAATCTCTGATCCAATCCAGTCCCCATTGTTTTATAAATGAGGCAGCTAAAGCTCAGAGAGATTCAATTGTTTACCCAAAGTCTCCTGGGTAGATTGAAATCCTAGTCTTTGGACTCCAGATCAAGTGCCCTTTCTGCTATACAGCAGTCTGTACAGCAGTACCTGTCCAAGGTAGCCAAATGTTTAAGAAAACGGAATCAAAGTCACAGTTTAGTCATCTGGAAGAATGAATGGCAGTGGATCCATCAGAAAGTGAATACCTCTGCACTGTATAGGCCAGGAGGGCTTTCTGTCCTAGTCAAACAAAGATAGCAGTAAGAGTGCCCCAGCTAAGTGTCAGCTAAGGGACAGTCAGGAAGATGCTGTAGACAGAATTCTGACAAGATTAAAGATACACACAGGACTTCTGTGTGGCAAATAATATCGAGAGAGTAGATGAGGAAGTCTGATAAACCACTTAGCATTTTTAAGTTTCCCTTTGAATTTTTAACCTTGCCTTATTTGGTACTATATGTGTGTATGTGTATATACATATATATTTTGCATGTGTGTGTGTACATATACACATGCACATGCATACACACACACACACACACACACACACACACACACACACACATATATGCAAGTCCAGTTTCCTCATCTATAAAATGTGCTGGAGAGGGAAATGGCAAACTACTCCAGTATCTTTGCCAAGAAAAGCCCAAATGTGTTCACAAAGAGTTGGACACAGCTGAAATGATTGAACAACAATAAGCTACACTTAAGATTTCTTTTTTTTTGCATTTTAAAAAAATTTTATTAATTTATTTTGATTTGTTAACAATCACTTCTATATGCTTTTGAGTTGAAAATTTTTCTCCCCCTACCTTCCCCCCACCCTTCCCAAGATGGTGCACAATCTGATATAGGTTTACATTTACATTCCTATTAAACATATTTTCACATTAGTGAAGTTGTAAGTAAAAATTAAAACCAACAGGAGGAACCATCAGAAAGATGAAACAGAACTCAACAGAAAGTAAAAATAAGTGATAGCAATTCGACTTCCATAGTTTTTTCTTTGGATGTGGACCGCATTTTCCATCCCGAGGCCTCTGGAGATGTCTTAGATCCTTGCAATGCTGAGAAAGGTTGAGTTTCACAGTATTAGTCATCGCATAATGTGGCTGTTATTGTGTATGAAGTCCTCTTGGTTCTGCTCACTTCACTCAGCATCAGACCATATAAGTCTTTCCAGGTTTTTCTGAAGTCAGCCTGTTCATCATTTCTTATAGCACAATAGTATTTCATTACATTCATATACCACAACTTGCTCAGCCATTCCCCAATGGATGGGCATCCTCTCAATTTCCAATTCTTTGCCACCACAAAAAGAGCTGCTGTGAATATTTTTGTACATGTGGGTCCTTTTCCCATTTGTTTGATCTCTTTGGGATATAGCCCTAGAAGTGCTATTGCTGGATCAAAGGGTATGCACATTTTTGTAGCCCTTTGGGCATAGTTCCAAATTGTTCTCCAAAATGGTTGGATCATTTCACAACTCCACCAACAATGTATTAGTGTTCCAATTTTCCCACATCTTCTCCAACATTTATCATTTTCCTGTTTTGTCATGTTGGCCAATCTGATAGGTGTGATGTGGTACCTCAGAGTTGTTTTGATTTGCATTTCTCTAATCAATAATGATTTAGAGCATTTTTTCATATGACTATAGATGGCTTTAATTTCTTCATCTGAGAACTGTCTGTTCATATCCTTTGACCATTTATCAATTGGGGAATGGCTTGTGTTCTTATAAATTTGTCTTAATTCTCTATATATTTTAGAAATGAGGCCTTTATCAGAGAGACTGGTTGTAAAAATTCTTTCCCAATTTTCTACCTTCCTTCTAATCTTAGTTGCATTGGCTTTGCTTGTGCGTAAAAACTTTTCAATTTAATGTAATCAAAATTATCCATTTTGCTTTTCATAATGTTCTCTATCTCTCTCCTGTTTGGTCATGAATTTCTTTCTGTTCTCAGTTTACTTATGGTATCAGCCTTTATATCTAAGTCATGAACCCATTTTGACTTTATTTTGGTATATGGTGTGAGATTTGGGTCTATGCCTAGTTTCTGCCATACTCTTTTCCAGTTTTCCCAGCAGTTTTTTTCGAAGAGTGGGTTCTTATCCCAGAAGCTGGGGTCTTTGGGTTTATCAAATAATAGATTACTATAGTCATTGACTACTGTGTCTTGCATATTTAACCTATTCCACTGATCCACCTCCCTATTTCTTAGCCAGTACCAAGCAGTTTTGATGATTGCTGCTTTATAATACAATTTAAGATCTGGAATTGCTAGGCCACCTTCCCCTGCATTTCTTTTCATTAGTTCCTTTGATATTCTGGACCTTTTGTTTTTCCAAATGAATCTTGTTATTATTTTTTCTAACTCTATAAAATAATTTTTGGTAGTTTGATTGGTATGGCACTGAATAAGTAAATTAGCTTAGGTAGGATTGTCATTTTTATTATATTAGCTCAGCCTACCCATGAGCAACTGATGTTTTTCCAATTATTTAGATCTGATTTTATTTGTGTGAAAAGTGTTTTGTAATTGTGTTCATAGAGTTCCTGGGTTTGTTTCGGAGGTAGACTCCTAAATATTTTATAATGTCTACAGTAAGTTTAAATGGGATTTCTCTTTCTATCTCTTGCTGTTGGGCTTTGTTGGTAATATATAGAAATGCTGATGATTTATGTGGGTTTATTTTATAGCCTGCAACTTTGCTAAAGTTGTTTATTATTTCAAGTAGTTTTTTACTTGATTCTCTAGGATTCTCTAAGTATATCATCATGTCATCTGCAAAGAGTGATAGCTTTGTTTCTTCTTTGCCTATT